AGTAGTGTGTGTGTGTGTGTGTGTGTGTGTGTGTGTGTGTGTGTGTGTGTGTGTGTGTGTGTGTGTGTGTGTGTGTGTGACCCCCCCCATGGGGGTGTCACTCCTTGGCCTTGGATTGTTCTATGGTGGTTCTCCTCCCGCGCTGGTTTCCGTGGGATCGGCGCTCGGTGTCACCCCGGAGTGGTGGGTCTGGGAGCGCTGCCCGCGGCGGCCTGGACGTTCCCACCCCGGTGCGGTCAGTTCCCCCTGCTGGTCGCATGGGTCCGGCCCACAGCAAACGGGGGGGCCTGGAAACGTGCAGGACTTTGTGGGGCAGGGTGGGGCTGGGCACGGATTGACGTCCCAGCAAGTGAGCGAGCGAGGTAGAGTTACAGGTCTGCGCCCAGCCTGGCAGCCACTTTAGGCCCTAGGCCCTGATCTCTTACAGCCTGAGGCCTCCTGGGCTGCTTGTGGGTGAGCCCAGCCCCACAGCCCCCACGGGGAAATATCGCCTCCTGCATTCTGCGCCCAGCGGCGCCCCAGTGACAGCTCGAGGCCCTGAGTTAAGGCAAATAACATGAACGTAACCCCCCATGTCTGCAAAATCCCCAGCCGCTCTTTGAAACGACAAGCCTGCATGATCCAGCCCTTGTCCCAGCCTCCCCCCCGGCGAATCTAGCTGTGCCGAGGAGACCAGTCACTACGCTCATAAAGGGCCCGATCCGGCTGCTCTTGAGACCAAGGAAGGTGCGTGGGGGGGGGGGGGAGACCTTGATTTTAATGGCAGCAGAATCAGGCCCCAGGTACAAATGTCCACATGAGATTAGCCGAGACCCCCAAACTTGGAGAGAGGAGCCAGGAGCTGTGAGCTGGACCGTGGGCCATAAGGCCAAGGTGCCTGAGCACAGGACGACGCTAACAGCACCCGGGCTCACCCCGTTTCTCTCCTCTCTTCAGCGCCTGCCCCTCCCGCTCACCCCACCCCTTCGCCCTCTGGGGGCACCCCTGGGGTGGACTTGTCCTGCCCTGCAGGGGTGAGGCTCATGACATACAAACCCTATTGCTGACGGGACGTCCCGCTCGCTCTGGGTTCGGGGAGGGGTGGGCAGTGCTGCAGGGTGCCCGTCTGTGTGTGTGCGGCATCGTAGCCCTGCTCCCATCCCGGCCCCTCCGGGATGGCTAAGGGGGGGGGGGTTCTGCTCTCCCCTCCTCCTCGCCCCCTGGGGTCAGCTTCATTTGAGACCAAACACATCCCTGATTCAACATCACGGACGACAAGAGAGTCACTTGGGAGGAGCATGGTCCCGTCTGGGTGTCAGTCCCAGGGTGACCGCGCGTCCACACACGACACAGGTGTCACCTACAACTTACCCGTGAGAACATGGCCCTTCCGGCGGAGACCCGCGTCTACCGCCAGGGATGGAAGAGGGTCCAGCTGGGGTCTGATCCTCAGCGGGTGACCTGGAGCGACAGGATGAGAGCGAGCGCGAGGGGGGGGGGTGCACGGCGCCAGGCGGAGAGAGACGGGGTGCCAGGTGAGGGGTGCAGGCCTTGGGCTTTATCTGGCCATTCCAGTCCCCGCCCACCATTAACTAACGGCGGTGGGCACCGTTCCCGTGTGCCCTCTGGCCACCTGTCTGAGGCAGGGCCTCGCAGGGTCCCAGCCCGGCCCCATGGATTGTCCCCAATGCCAATGTTTGATTCGTTTCTTTTCCCCTTAGGCAAACCCCCCAATGCTTCCCTCTCCAGCCCGGCGCTCCCGTTCGGGGAGGTCTCAGCAGATGGGATGGAAAACCCCAGCTCCAGCCCGTTAGCTGCTGTGCTGTTAATTTGCTACATCTGGTCGCCGGGGATGGGACTTGCTCAGTTTTTATCTCCCCGAGCTTCTGCCTCGAGCGCCAGCCCCATGCGGTGAAAGGACACCGTAAATACTGCCAAGCCAAGCACACACGCGGCCAAGAGGGGAGCGAAATCAGAGTGGGAACGAAGCTGCCGCAGAAGCCTCAGGCGCATTCAGAAGCCAAATGTGGCCACTGGAACCCCAAGCGTTGCTGTGAGCGCAGCCGTGCCGGAGAGACGGGCAGAATGAAGCTGCAGGAGTCCACCGGCAGACCATGGCACGTCTGATCCCGGGCCAGTCTCAGCAGGGGGACCTGGACCCAGCCCAGAGACCCCTTCTCCTGCAGGGAGATCTTAGCTCTGGCCCCCCTCCCCGGCACCCCTCACTTCTGGACTCGGATTTCCCTTGGGATAGTGTCAACTCTCCTGCTTCTAAGGTCATGGTCGCTTTGGGGGCCTCTGGGGGAAAATGAGTTGGAAGAAACCTCCCGGACTCAGCCAGCGTCGAGCAGATGCTGCTGCATGGAGCTGGCTAGGAGAGGGGTAGGGTGGGGGTGGGGTGAGGGGGGCGTGTGAGTGACAGACACTAACATTCATCCCCCTCATCTGGATTTGCTCCCATGCAGAGAAGGATTTTGGAGGAACCGATGGATTTACAGAGCCCGGACACTTGACAGAATTAATCTCAACCCGAGTGATGGACAGTCAGATGGCCAGATAGCCCCGGCGCGGGCTACCCCATAAGAAGTGATGCATCTCTTCCACTTCCCATTGTTAGCATGAGAACACAGCCTGGGTCCTACACAGAGGTACCGTTCCACAGAGACCCACCTCGCTGCCCCTATAAGAAGGAAGGGGCTCTCCGAGGCACTGGAGATGGCTGGAGGATGCGACGCACTCAACAGCAGCCGTAGACCATCAAACTTTTTCCCCTAGTGGTTTAATTCCTCTCTGGGGGAATCATCTCTACGAGGCTGCCAGAAACCAGAAGATTGGAGCCTTTCCTCCAGCATTTTCATATTTCTGAGGATGCCAACACTACTGCAAACGCAACTGTGACACGAGTTTTTCTTTAGGTTCTATTTTTAGGGGTTGAGTTTCTATACATATATCTCTATATTTATGTATCTATAGGTTTCTATACGGCCATATCCACAGACACCCCATCTTTCTTGCGCGCCGTGTGGCTGTGGATATAGCTTTCGAGATACAACGATTAAGCCAAAGAATTTCTTGTAGGATTCTCCTTGCAACAAGACTTTCTAGCGCAATCATTTTTTGTGCCCAGACAAACTTCTCTGGGGAAGTTTTGTACGAGCCACTGCCCTGCAGCCCAAACAATGAGACCTGTGGCATTAATTGTAGGGTTTAAGACATTGTGGGTTTTGGCATTTTCGTCTCTTTCCAACACTCTGGCGGTGAATAACAGTGGGAGATGGTGGTAAGTCTCTGCTTTTGCCTTTATATCCATCCTGTTCATTCTCCTTTTGCGACTAGAGCAGCCGTGGAGGGAGAGAGAAATCCAGCAGACAAGTGCAGAGAGGGGGCTGCTCTCCGGGCAGGAGGGAACGCAGCTGCTCTCCACAGCATCCGGAGATGTCTGGGGAGACACTGCAAGAACTCAAGTGTTTGCTTCTAAGGATGAAAGAATAATGATTCTCGGCGTGGATGAGAAAAGGCACCTTCCAAGGGGCTTGGACCCAGGGTGTTTCATCCAACCCCAGCACACCTGGCCCCTCCGGTCTTGGTTCTTTTTCCTGTAGACAGATTTTGATATTTCTAACCGGATTTGTTTTCCCTTCTCTGTGCTCCTCTGTCCGTCATGGGCTGGGGTGGGGGGGAGTTGCTGAGGGAACTTGTTGTAACTTCCCCACTAGCTAGCGATCCATTCATCCCCATCCCCATCCCCAGCTGGGCACGGTGCTGTACAAAGACAGGCATAGGACGATGCACACAGCGTCTTGGGCTAATTCTATGGAGCGGGGACTGTCTTTTCATTACGCGTGTCCAGTCAGTGCCGGTGCACCAGGCGCTAAGCTCATACTAGACACAATCACCAGAGTAGTCTGGCTACACACGCTCGCCGTATTGACACCTACAAACTGAGGCACTGTGTAGACACACGCCTACCCCCAGCTCTCCAATACACACCACCCCTTGGTGTGTGCGCACTAGTTCTGCTTCCCATTTGGGAGCCTGGACACCCGTATTCACGGGTGAGATTAACCATCCACTGTAGTGCAAGCCCTGCACTGACATTTCACACTACGTGTGTACACACACATGCAGACACACACACACACACAGAGCAGCAGGTATACCGCGCTATGCAATAGCTTATGTATATACACACAAAGAGACACAGACCCACATTTACGCCATATCATATGGGCCACAGGTGTGTGTGTGTCTGTTGTGTGTCTGTGGGCTGTGATCGCTAGCTGCAGCGCGGGATGCGTGGGGATAGACGGGCGGGTGGGTGCATTAGGCTCTGTTCTATGTCCCCCCCCAACACCGCCCCCCCAGCGGACACACACTTGTCCCCGCTGGGAACTCTCATCCCTGCCGTTGCTGGGGGGCAGGGGCAGCTCCTTCCCCTCCCCGGCCGGCTCCGGGGGTGGCTTCCCTCTCCTCTGTTTTAATGACTGCCTAGTCCGGGCCTGTCAGGCTGATTTAGGGCTGGGGGGTGGGTGGGGGGAGGTTTGCAGCACTTGACCGCTCTGCGTGAAACAGGCTGCTTCAGAGCACGGCCGGCCAGGACTTAGAGCCGCCTGGAGCCGGCCCCCTGCCCCCTGGCATCTCGGAGCTGGGAACCCAGGGCTCTGCCCATACCTGGAGCCTGCCTCTGGGGCCGGGCCTGAGCCTTTCCCGCATCCACGCACTGGCTGAATGTCCTGGTTCTACCCCTTGCATCTGGGAGGGGAGTCAGAGCAGGGGGTTGGGAGCCAGGACTCCGGGGTTCTCTCCCCAGTGCGGGGAGGGGAGCGCGGTTAAGTGGTCAGAGCAGGGGGTTGGGAGCCAGGACTCCGGGGTTCTCTCCCCAGTGCTGGGAGGGGAGCGAGGTTAAGTGGTCAGAGCAGGGGGCTGGGAGCCAGGACTCCGGGGTTCTCTCCCCAGTGCTGGGAGGGGAGCGAGGTTAAGTGGTCAGAGCAGGGGGCTGGGAGCCAGGACTCCGGGGTTCGGTCGGCCCTGCGACGTGGCACCTTATCCCCGCTGTCCGCAGGGGCATCATCAACGTGGCCTCTTCCACCAACCTGCTGACGGACTCCAAGAACGTGCAGCTGGTGCTGGACCCCTCCCTGCAGCTGCTGAGCCGTAGGCAGCGGAAGCTGATCCGCCAGAACCCCGGCGTCCTGCACAGCGTCAGCAGCGGCCTGCAGAGCGCCATCCAGGAGTGCAAGTGGCAGTTCCGCAACCGCCGCTGGAACTGCCCCACCACCCAGGGGCCCCACATCTTCGGCAAGATCGTCAACCGGGGTGAGGCTGCCGGGGGCTCCCGGCGGGGGCAGGGCTCGGAGCGGGGGCGCCCGGCAGTGATCGTGGCCAAGAGGAGGGGGAAACTGAGGCAGAGCAGGTGCCAGGCCCTGGCACACCCAGGAAGGGGCTCCGGGTGCCACGCGGCCCCCTCCTACCACGTGTTGAGGGCCCCGCCCCCGCGTGCCATGCCTCGTGGGTCACGTGCCCCCCCATGCATTGTCCCCCCCCCATCCCCGTGGGTCACACAATTGGCCAGATAAGTGCCGCGATGTCACCTCTCCTTCCCTGATTGGACGAGCTCCCCGGCCAGGCCTGCCCAGGGGATCCCCCAGCCCGGACTCCGTGGGCATTTCCCTGGGCTGGCAGCGAGGGCTCGGCAGGGGCAGGGCCTCAGGCCCACATGCCCAGAGCAGCCCCTGGCCAGCCAGTGGGGCGACTCCTCTGCTCGGGGGCTGCCAGCCCCAGCCCCGGTGCCACCTCGGTCAGCGTTTTAAAAAACACTTTCCAAACGATGGCCCCGTGGCCTAGTGGATGGCGCCTGAACTGGGCTCCCCGGACTCCTGGGATCCATCCCAGCTCTGCCACCTTCCCTCTCTACCCCACCGTTTCCCCTCCCGCCCCTCGCCTAGACTGGGAGCTCCCTGAGCTGGGCCGGGGTCTGTGCAGCGCCTGGCGCGACGGGCCCGATCCCGGCTGGGCTGTAACGCCCACGATAACGCCACGGCCCCTCTGTGGCGTGTGGGGGAGCTCGGTCGTACCCCCACCGAAGGGCAGAGCTAGCCTCACCTCTGCCAGGGTGAAAGGGCCGGTGACCCTGGGGGGGGGGAGGTTGGGCTCCTTTCTAAGGCAGAAATCCCACCCTGCGAGCCGGCTCCCCTGGCCCAGCCCTCTGCCATATCCAGCCCGGCCAGTCAGGTGCTCCCCAAACTCTGGGTCTCCCCCACCAGCTCCTCCCCACCCAGCCCCCTGCTGCAGCCCCTCCCCCAAAGCCAAGCTCGTAATCCCCCCCTGCTCACCTGCACAGGGACCCCCGCCTCCGCAGCAACACAACAGGAGCTGCAACTTCCTGCCACCTGCCCCTTCCACCTGGCGGCCGGGAGGAACCCCCCTCACTTCCCCTCACCGCCGCTAGGGGGAGCCAGGGCGCTCAGTATGCAAACGAACCTGGCCGCAGGTGGGAACACACCTTTCATTTCCCCCTTCACCTCTAGAGGGAGCCAGGGCGCTTCCCCGAGCTGGCACCAGGTGTTCCCTGCGCTGCACGGACACAGGGCGAGCCAGCCCCACCGTACTGCTGGGAGACAAAGTTACTCAGGCCTGGCCTGGCGCAGCCCCCCGCCCCCCC